TCATATTTTACCGAGTCTCTATGAGATGTAATTCGGTTTCAGTCATAGCTATGTCACATCTTCATTAAATCTCTTGAAAATTGGTAGAATGATGGGTATTTATATGCTTTACTATTTTATATAACCCGTTTATTTTTCAGAGTAATAATGGTTGAGATACAAATGGTTTATATTGGTATAATAAATTATACGCAAAAAAACCGGTCTGGATCAGTCTGAACCGGTATCATGGACTGCAAAAGACCAGTCCTAGGTGGTTCGGTTCAGTTCCCTCAATATCTGGGTCGGTCCTGGACTGGTTGCGGTCCACGGTTGCGCGTTTTCAGGGCAAAAAACCGGACTGAACTGAACCTTTAAACACTAATGATCTCTAAGAAATGGGTAGGTTACTCTGTTTTCACTGACAAGTTCATCATCACTATCATCAGCTTCAATACTGGTTGAGTGTTTATTTATATTGAGCTCATCTCCATCAGTATCATAATCATCAACAAGTTGTGGTAGTACATCAGTACTGACTTGCTCAATTTTTTCTAACAAGTCAAGTTCATCATCTGAATCTGTAATTTCATCATGGTCTTGGGAGCTATTGGCTACTTTGCATCTGGTAGACATTTGAACCCATTCATACAGAGTCTTATCTTTAAATATTTTTGGTCTATAGATGTAATCATGAACTGATGAAAAGCCCACATATTCACCTTTGCCTTTTTGAAGCACAAGTTTTTCAGGTAACTCCTCTTCCAAGTCTTCTTCTGATCTGAAGGGCTTTAGAGCTTCCCTCACAAAGTTTTTCCAGTAGACCACTACAAATTTGTGACTAGTATAATGATCAGGATTTCCCAAAAGATATAGAGCAGCCATAGGCCCTCCAATCTCCATCCTAGCTGTTAAACAATTGCTAGCTTGTGTTACAATTTTTCTTGCCTTTTCTTTTCTTCCTAAATACACTCCTAATAGCATCAAATATAGCATAAGTTTTTAACCCAGGCTTGGTCACATAATCTGATATATATGCCACTATAGCTTTGATGGCTGTACCAGATAGAAGGCTTGTTACATCTGAGTTACATCTGAGCAGATAAGTGACTGGAGGAGATAAAGTATTAATCCATTCCTCTCCTTTCTTAACATTCAAGGCCCCAGTGTTTGAATCCACCTCTGTCTGATCATACAATGTTCTGGGAAATCTAGCTTTACATTTTCCCTATATATTCATACATGTAGGTCTATCCTTCTTTGCAGCTTTTTCACCAGCTGATTTGTTCCTTCCACAATCATGTACATTAGACCTCAGAATCAGATCATCTACTCTCTTTGCATATTCTTTCCACCAGGTGCTAAGATTTTCACATTTTTCACAATTATTGCAGTCACAAAATGGAGGAGGTGCTTCAGGTAAAGTCTGAGTTGGATCCTTATAATTTGTGTTTTGATTTTTCTCTATCTCTACCTCATGTTTCACCTTATCCATGGACCCTGTCATAAATTCACCAATGTGAACAGCCTCCAAATATTCAACTATTTTCCTTTGAAAGTCTGAGAAAGGATCCATGATTTTGTCTCTGATTTCCTGAGGAGTTAAAGCTCCTTTGATCCAAAGTAGCATATGCAAATGTAAAGTCAATCTTTCCTATTGTTCCACTGTTGCATAAAATGCCTCTGTATCTCCATACAGTCCTCTATGTTTTTCACCCACACCAAGAACATGCTTGATGTACATCTCAGTTATGAAGTGAAAAAATCTAGCACCAGCTACAGGATTATTTGCAATTAATTTGTATCTTTCATCATATTCTCTTAACAATGGACTAAACTTTTCCTTAGTGTCAGCAAAGTACAATGATATAGGGTGCATGTTATCAGCTGGAGAGAATGTGATGAACCAAGATGGAGCTCCAATGAATGAGATGAGAGACCAGATTTCATTGCACATATATTTTTTGGTGGTGGTTGAGCCTTGAACTCTTCCTGAGACATGATCCAAGTCTTTGATAAGCTGAAAGCACAAGGACTCTTCATCAGTTTCAGGCTTTACTCTCTCTCCATCTTCCATTCTTTGGATCAAGTCACTTAGAACTTCAACATCAACATCCATAAGTCTTTTTGAAATATTGTCAAATTTTGGAGTCTCAGCAA